GAATAAATAATAGTCCCGTCATATTCTGAGATAGTCTCACTTACACTAGGATTCCTGATACCAGTTTCCTTGATAAGTCGGAAAAGTTGTCTACTGTTGCCGATCGCCGCTGCCTTTTCCATCGCTTTTGCTTTCGCCACCCACCACTGTTCGCGATCGTTACGTAGGCTTTTCATAAGTCTGCGCCTAAGTTGACTTCGTTCTTCATCATGCTCAAAGCCAGGTGGGATGAGTTTTCGGGCATCCATCAGATCGGTGGATGCTACTGAGATCCACGGTTTCATTCTAGCCTTATGGTCAACCTTACTAGCAGATATCACTGCTGTTTCCACAGACTTCTTGATATCATTCCATCCTGCTTCCGGATGGGAATCGCTTAAATGGTCGCCTAACTGTCTTTCTAGTTGTTCCTGAAATATATTTTTCGCCTTATTATCATTAAGTAAAACCCTAAGAGACTTTCTTACGGTGTCTTTCCTACGCCCAGTAAGCTTCAAACAAATACGCGCTCGCACTAGGGCATGATCTGAATCTAGGCATGTGCCCCAGAACGAGCGACAGTCCTCTATCGAACCCCTCCATCGGTGGCTGATGGCGATGTGATCTAGTTGAGTCCAACGTTGAGACGACTTTGGAGGTCGCCAGGTCAACAGATGCTTTTCCTTATGCCTAAAGTTAGTGTTTCCTAAGAATAGGCGGTTGTCTGAGCATGTTTGCAACAGACGGTCACCATTGTCTGTTCTCTGAGCCGCGACACCATAACATCCACCTAGGTGTTTCTCCTGCTCACTTAGTCTACCTACTTGAGCATTAAAGTCACCAGCCATTATTACTATATCAGAGCGCCTAGCTTTTCGGAGGAGGTCCGAGAGCTTTCTGTAAAACTCATCCTTAACCTCGTCTGAACTGCATTCAGTGGGGGCATAGGCAGATACGATGAAGAGGCAACAGCGATTGTCCCTATCTTTCCGAGTCCTTACTGGCCCGTTTAGTCGGACAGCGCACAATCGACTATCTATTGGGATCCAGTCAAGCAGAGATTGTTCTGCCCTACGACTCAATGCTATGCCTACACCAGCAAGACCCCGGGAAGCAGCATCAGGGCTACCGGATACACGAAGAGTAAATCGAGCTGCTTCTTTATTTTGACATGGTGTGGCCAAGTGTATGACGCGACTCGGATCCTGTATGCGCGTTTCCGAGACGCAGCATACATCGATGGCACGAGATTCTAAAGTCCTAGCTAAGGAAGCCTGTTGCCCTATTTGACACAATGTCCGTACATTAAATGCTCCAACATGTAGTCTAGAGCGAGGTTTAAGGAGACCAGGAACGACGTTTCGCGAACTCGTATCGTCTGCATTAGCTGTGCACTGTGATGAATGAATGTGAGAAGAGTTAGTCGTGGAGATAAGAGAGGTACTAGGGGGTGTAGGAAGGATTTGATTTTGACCAATTTGGTCTCGCGTGCTGTTATGGGTATGAGGGCGGTTGTCACTTCCCGGCTGCCCACACCGTGGAAGGTTGTTTCTTGAGAGACCTGAAAAAGAAGATGGATTAGTGTTGGTGCGTGACCGCGGAGCCCAAGGGACAACTGCTTGAGGCCGGTCACGCACGGCCTTTTTATGAAATGGTTTTTGAGGATTAGCTCCGTTCTTAAAGGCCCTTAGTGGGCACCCTTACCCAAGGAGACGGAAATCCGTGAGTTAGGGGAGGTGTGACATTTTTAGGGCCGACCTTTTCTAACCCTTCCTTCCTTGTGAGAAGGCAGCATCGCTGCAGATGCTGGTTGTCCGAGGGAAACACCTTACTGCTGTCACACCCCTCTGCAGTCAGCAGTACGACTTCGCCCCCAGACCTTGGGTAGCTGCGTTTAGTCTCATCGTTCTCCAATCGACCTGTCTGGCATGGTAGAACCTTGAGGAACATATGTTCCAGCCAGTATAGCTCGGTTGGGTCATCACGATAGGCAAGCCCGACCACCACGTCAAGGTAGCAGCTACGGTCGGGATCTCTACCGCTATTGGATTTGAACTGACAGTTGCGTCTCTGTGCTCGGTATGACAACCTGAACTGATGTACGTACGTACGAAGTTCTACGTTGTGACTGACTTTCCAACTTTCCCAAGTAAATCTTCTGTACCCACGATGCGCCGGAATATTCGCTTTTTATGCGTCGATTTCTTCAACAACCCCTACACGAAAAGATAGTAAGGGCTTCCTGTTAATGGCTATATATGAGAGCACTTCAAAAGGGCGAAATCTTCGCTCTTTGCCGTACCAGGACATATCCTAACCAGCTAAGTTGGTGGAAAATCACTAGTTCAATTAGTTTGCTGTCTTCACCTAGCACCCTGTTCTTACCCAGCTATTGTTTTTTGAGTCAGCTACAACGTATAACTCAGTCAGTACGGACATCAGTTTAAGTTGCCATACCAAATCGTCAATTTGAAGAGGTCGCAACACCAGCGGTAATAGAGATTAGGGATTGAAAGGAATCGCTAACTCGGTGGTTCTAAAATACATTAGCAATGCTTCAAAGAAGCCTATGAAGCGGGCAACACGTTCAAGTACTTCACTCCCCATCACTAGTTCAGGTGCCAACGCAGGCTATTTCTGAAGCAGGATTTTGCATTTCGATGGCGAGGATCGCACCCTGAACATTGTTGCTTAATGTGGTCAAAAAACTATATATTTTGTCAGTTTTCACCAAGCAGAGCTATGTCATCTGCATATTCTAAGTCAGTGAGCGAATATCCCGGTGAAAATGCGACAACCTGAAAAGTCAGATGATCAGTGTCCTAATTGAAAGCATGTCAAGACAAAGTTAAACAAGAATGGGAAAAGTATATATCGCTGACGAACACCACTTGAAATGATCAGTTCTGATGAAACTTTGCCTCTCACTCTCGACCACTGAGTTGTAAAAGGTTAATGAACTTCTCTGGTACACCTTCGAATGACAGACACTGCCATAGAACATCTGGATAGATGGAGTAAAATGCCGCTCTAAGGTTCAGGAAGACAACTGTTGTTGGTGGCCTAAATGTGTCTGTGTTCTAGGACCTGCCGTACTGTCAATATTTGGGCTATACAGCCTTATCTAGTACCCGCTTCCTAACAACTGCATTGCTCCTATGATAGTCACAGGATATACGGACAATGCTTCGAAGATACCTACGGTCGAAAATCAGTAACATAAAAATATCCTTCAATCTTACTAGCCACGTTTCGCATCCATATAGGAGAATAGAGCAAACTGCTGCACAGTACACTCGACCTTTAGTCAGCAAACGGATATCTCGCCTACGCCATAATTGACGCAAGTTGGCAAAAGCCAATCGAGCTTTCTGTATCCGTGCTGAGATTTAGCCACACAACAGACCACTAGCACCGATGAGACTCCCAGGGTAAGTAAAGCGGTCAACATGCTCAGCTCCTTCACTCCCTATCACTAGCTCAGGTGCCGATGAAACCTAATCCTGGAATAAGCATTTCGACGGGGAGAATCACATCCCGAACATGCTTGCATTGTTGCTTAGGTAGTCAGAAGACTGCATTTTGTCAGCGTCTTCACTAAGCAGAACTATGTCATCGGTATATTCTAGATCAACAGGCGTGTCTCCTTGTAGAAGGTCCACAACTTAAAAATCTGACGAGGATAATGTTAACTCTAAAAGGATGTCTACGACAAAGTTGAACAAGAATAAAGAGAATGAACGACCCTGATGCACAACACCACTTAAAGTAATAAGTCCCAATGACAGTTCGCCATCAGCTTTCACTCCGTCAGTAGTGTTCGAAATAAGAACTTGTATAAGGTTAATGTGCTTCTTTGGTACACCTTTCAATGACAGACACTGTTATTGAACCACACAATCCATAAATTCAAATGTCACCTTAAAGTTGAAAAATGCAACTAATGTGGGACATCAGAATGCGATGTGCTAGGACCTGAGGAAGGAGTAACGTTTTGTGTGCTTGAATCGTCTGCATTAGCGGCGCCGGATAATAAAGGAGGTGTGGTTTGGTTATGGAAGTAAGATGGTTACAAAGAGACATGGGAAGAATTTGATTGTGACAAAGTCGATCTCGTGTGTTGTTATGAGTCGGAGGATAGATGTCACTTCCCGGGTGCCCACACCGTGGAAGGGTATTTTCTTGAGAAACCTGAAAAGGAAGTTAAATTAGAATTGGTCTTAGAGACCTGGGAGCGTTACTACAGAGCTCAAGGGACAACTGCTTGAGGCCGGTCACGCACGGACTTTTTATGGGTAGTGTTTAAAGAGTTAGCTCTGTTCTTGTTTAAAAGCCCTTACCGCCGGAGACGGAACTCCTTGGGGTGTGACATTTTTAGGGTCGATCTTTCCTAGTCCATTGCTTCCTTGTGAGAAGGCAGCATCGCTGCAGATGCTGGTTGTCCGAGGGGAACACCTTATTTTTGTCACACCTCTACAGTCAGCAGTACGACTTGACTCTCGGACCTTGAGTGGCTGCTTTTAGTCTCACCGTTCTCCAATCGACCTGCCTGGCATGGTAGAACCTACAGTAACCGATGTTGCAGCCAATACAGCTCGGTTGCGTCATCACGATAGGGAACCTGGACCAGCAGGTCTAAGTAGGAAATACAATCACGCGCCGTAGAAAAAAGTGAAGTTTTGTAGGTACTTTAAAATTTTTCTATAGGTATTCTGACAGATACGCCAAACGACAGCATCATGCAGCTTGTTTGTACCTCTCGTTTAGTAATATATTTCACATAGCTTTTAATATCAAGCATGCACTATTTTCCTAATACAATAACTACAAACTACAACTGATGTTTTTAAGTTATAAATATATAAATAAGACAAACATTATTGCTGAGGTTTGGTTTGATATATTTCCTGAGAAATACAAGTACGCTAACCAGTAAACAACATAACAAAAATACAATAATCTTGAGCTTCACAAAATATTCAATATTAAGAAAATACTCACTGATACTGCTTAAGTTGGCCTTAGTTGGGCAAGGTTGAAAAATAACAAACGGGGACTGAATTAGCATTTACATTAATACTTTCTGAACATATCGTACATCGATTGTTTCCCCAAAACTTGTTGATTGATTCCACCAATGAATCAAGTGGTTTGCCAATCTGATACACAATTGTATTCTCACTTTCCAGTTTTTTAGCAACTACAGATTCCCATACCTTGCTTAATTTGTACAAATCAGAATTTGTATTCTTCAGTTTTTCTTCTATGATACACGAATCACCAGTATCAATGATTAAAGTTATCGATCTATATCTAGAGTAGTTGAAAGCATTATTTTCCATCGTTTCTGCCTCAAGATTTCTGGTTATTACGATCTCTTTTGCAGTAAGATGTACAGGATTTTCACATGCAGACGAATCAAGCTAGGAAAAAGGCAAAAGAAAATTATGTGTGCACCTTGGAGTAAAATGCCGATATATGGACAACTTCGCAAAAAGTAAGTCACAACTACTTAAATCTGATATCCGACTGCCAGCTGGCGCGCGGTACATGCAATACGACACTCGATGACAAACAGTGCATACATATGATACAGTAAAGCAAGGGTCCTTTCAGTCAAGTTATTGGCCTTTATCGATTAGTGTACAGGTTCGAAACCGAGTTTACCGAACGTAGCGAGTATAAGTTACATTGTATAGGCATTTATATTTGAGCGTAGGATAAATAAGCGGTGTGAAGCAGTTAAGAAACTAAAAATTACAACCGTAGATAAGGTCTACGGGTGATTGCTATTTAGAGGACCAAATAAAATTTCTCCCCGTGTTTTCAATGCTGATTTTCGTAAGTAGATTATAATACCTCAAATAGCTTTCAGGAACAATGGCTTTTTACCTTGACGTGGTAGTCGGGATTGCCTATCGTGATGACCCAACCGAGCTGTATTGGCTGCAACATCGGTTACTGTAGGTTCTACCATGCCAGGCAGGTCGATTGGAGAACGGTGAGACTAAAAGCAGCCACTCAAGGTCCGAGAGTCAAGTCGTACTGCTGACTGTAGAGGTGTGACAAAAATAAGGTGTTCCCCTCGGACAACCAGCATCTGCAGCGATGCTGCCTTCTCACAAGGAAGCAATGGACTAGGAAAGATCGACCCTAAAAATGTCACACCCCAAGAAGTTCCGTCTCCGGCGGTAAGGGCTTTTAAACAAGAACAGAGCTAACTCTTTAAACACTACCCATAAAAAGTCCGTGCGTGACCGGCCTCAAGCAGTTGTCCCTTGAGCTCTGTAGTAACGCTCCCAGGTCTCTAAGACCAATTCTAATTTAACTTCCTTTTCAGGTTTCTCAAGAAAATACCCTTCCACGGTGTGGGCACCCGGGAAGTGACATCTATCCTCCTACTTGTAATAACACAAGAGATCATGTACCTGGAAGCCCTGATGCTGCTTCCCGGGGTCTCGCTGGCCTAGGTATAGCATTGAGTCGTAGGGCAGAACTAGCTTTCCTAGACTGGATCCCAGTAGATAGTCGCTTGTGCGCTGTCCGACTGAACGGGACAGTAAGGACTCGTAAACATAGGGACACTCGTCGTTGCCTCCTCGTCATATCTGCCTACGCTCCCACTGACTGTAATTCAGACGAGCTTTCGGGTCTCCTCAAAAAGTTAAGCACTCGGATATAGTCATAATGGCTGATGACTTCAATGCTAAGTCGGTAGACTGAGTGAAAAAAGGAAAGACACCTGGGTGGATCTTATGGTGTCGCGGCTCAGAGAAGTGATAATGGCGACCGTCTGTTGCAACTATGCTCATATAAACACCTATTTCTAGCAAACACTAATTTTAAGCATAGGGAAAAACATCTTTTGACCTGGCGACCCCCGAAGTCGTCTCAACGTTGGACCCAACTAGATCACGTTGCCATCAGCCGTCAATGGAGGGGTTTAATAGAGGGCTATCGCCCATTCAGGCGCACTTGATTAGATTCAGACCATGCTCTAGTGCGAGCGTGTTTGTTTGCGTCTTACTGGACATTGGAAAGACGCCGCAAGAGAACCTCTTCGGATTCTACTTAATGATAGCGAGGTCAAGAATATATTTCAGGAACAACTAGAAAGACAGTTAAGCGACCATGTAAGTGATTCCCATCCGGAGGAGGCTTGGAATGGTATCAATGAGGCTGTGGAAACAGCAGTGATATCTGCTAGTAAGGTAAATCATAAGGCTAGAATGAAGCCGTGGATCTCAGTAGCATCTACCGAACTGACAGACGCTCGAAAACTCATCCCGCCTGGCAATGAGTACGATGTGGATCGGAGTCAGTTTCGGCGCAATTATCGAGAACGGTGGTGGGTAGTGATAGTGAGAGAGGTGGAAAAGGCAGCGGGGATAGTCAACAGTAGACAACTATTTAGACTTATCAAGGAAACTGCTATTGGGAACACTGATGTAAGTGAGACTAATTCGGTGCACTAATGTGGTACGGCAACCTGAACTTGTGTACCTACGTCCGAAGTTCTACGTTGTAACTGACTGACTGACTAATTGCATGACTAAAATAATTTCGAGAGACATACAAGAAAAGTTTGTGTTTTCCAGCTCTCAGGTACATTCTCGTCAGTTACTTCAAGAACCAGTGCACAGTTGACTGGGTTATAAGATACAATGATGAATTGTCATGATTTGATGACTTGCATTTATCCAAAATTATCTGTTCTAGGTGCCTGAGATATTGTAAGTGGAGCATTTCTATCCTTTTAAAACAACATTACATAAGCCGGCGTTCATACCCAAAGACGAAAGTAAACGAAAATCAATGGGAGATACCTTAGCTGGTTGTTGATCGAAAGAAATTCGTAAATCGCAAATAGGCTGTCAGTAAGTCAGGTACAGTGTGGAACTTAGTATGTATGTATGTACATCAGTTCGAATTGCCATGCTATATTAGCACAGAGAGATAGAATTGTTAATTTTAATCCCATAATGGTTAAGGTAGTAGCAGCTTTAGCAGTAATGGTAAAGACTAGGAACCGCAGATATGATTCGAGAAGTATATTCCAGTGAAATAATTTTAAAAAGAGAAAAAAGGTCGTGAGGAATACGCTGTAAAACAGCCCCATATTTTCGTTGAGAAATAAGAATATTAATAACCAAGAGATATAGAAAAAACTGAATGTCATAATTTTGATTTACAAAACAACGCAATTATTAACAAATACCTCCTGGAAAATACTAGAATGGTCTGGTTCTACTTGAATAAATCTGGAAGATTTTGAACTTAATTTCCCTGTCGATAAATATTCAGCCCAATTTTCAATTACACCAAATGATTCTGGAGCAAGATTACTACAACCAGTATGTTGCAAACTAGTTTCATTTATGAGAAGGTTACTCCAAGCTAGAGCTAATTCAAAGGCGATATCACGTGAACCAGCGGACCAACAAAACACATCAATACTGTTGATATATGAACTCAATCCAATATAAAATTTTAAACGACCTGCTCTGTAGTCTGCTCCTTTTTTATGATTACATGATCGACAAATATTAATGACTTCAGTCAAGTTGTTTGTCTGATTATTAGCATAGAAGTCTTCGAAGTGGATTAGCGCCCGAAAAATAAGGGTAAATGGTGTTAATGACTTCGACTTCTCACCTTCTATAAACTTTTAAAGATAAAATTAAGGTTTTAGACACATGAAAATGTTCGTTTAAAACAAAGTAAGTGGTGATAATAACATAATATACAAAAAAGCTAATATAAATTACACAGTAAACTATGATTGTTCGAATGTCCTATTTTACTAAGCAAGCTAAACAAGCTAATAGAAACTTCTGCATGTACAATAATATAAAGATACGTAAATTAGTTTAGAAGTTCAACAGTATAAACATTTTTAAGTCCCTGTATAATAGTTTGCGTCTAGTGCAGAATAGCTGCATGAGTTCGAATTTATTAGAACCTAGGTGAACACAGTGATGTAGATTACGATACCGATAGGTTTTATGTAACGTTCTTTCCAATAAAAAAATTGCCATGGGTTATAAATGCAAAACCGGTTGCGTATGAATTTGATATTCTAAAGGAAAATAGAAGATTGAATACAGCACTCTTTAAAAGTAGCTGTATACCGATATAGAAGAATAACAAGAGATTTGAGAGCTGAAGGCAAAGTAGTGTGATCGCCATAGTTACTTCAGAGGCGATTGCTAAACCAGGTATTGACATATCTTCTCTCATGAATAAGTATCCTAAGTGGTGGTATCATAACTCTGTAGCAGTAAATAAATCTGTAAGTCTTCGACATTGATACTAACCTCATTAGTTTTGTCGGATATACTTTAGCTGAACGCTATGATATGCATCCTTCGCAACAACTAGTCAGCTTTGATCACAAGCTTTCCGACATACATGGATAATTTACTGAGTATTCACTCACTGAGTTCATATAATTGTATACACTATGTATCATACCACTAAACATTGGATCCCCTATCTTGCCCATATTTATTATGATTAATAATCTCATTTTTATTTAACGTGAATGCTTATTCAGGTCAACTTTGCATACTAACAATATTATCACCCATCCACATGTAATTTTAAAAGGTGTATTAGCTTATAACGTGGTCACTTTTTGGATGACTAATTTGGACTTATAATTAAAGAACATAAAGACAGTTTAGTGGAAAGAATATTCTTCATTCATAAATTAATGTCTAAGATAGAAAAGAATAAGACGATAAAAACACTTGTAGTAAGAATATAAATTACCAAACTAACAAAGGATATCCTACGAACGTTGCCGATTGCTTTCGAATCCTAGGACTATTCTCCATTAAAAGGGTTGCACATTACCGAAACCGTTATTCTTTATCTCCATATATTTATTTACCATCTCCACGGCTTTCTAAATCACAGCGGTATACCGAAATAGTGTAGAATGTATGGGTGACTGAACGAAAACATGGAGTAACTAAGAAGTCAGCCCGACTTCCCGATTACTAGGAGGAATATACAACGGGCTAAAACCTCAACGTCGTTCGGGGATATAATTCAGCTTAACTTCTTTAACGTAACAACTTACAATCTTCGAGTAACTAAAAAATATACTTATGATGCTGAATGCCTGATTTGATCGGTCAAAATATTTAGAAACCAAGTGTTGGACCGCTAAAACTATCAGGAAACGACTTACGAATAGATTGTCCCACCAATCTTGTTCGTTTCCAACCGAATTGGAAGTCAACTTATTGATTTTGTTAAAAGTATAGTGGATAGAACCGTTAGAGCCAAGTTCTTGCTTTGATATGTATTCGACTAATTTATTGATTGCGGCTACCAGTATTCCGGGTTTAACGGTGAACAATTTATCAGGTAATACATTGACAAGGACTTCTTCATGAACACATGATCCACATTCACAAAAACTGGGAGATGGATTTGAGTGACTTCTTAACAACAGTGTTGGAGAAACGACACTATTTTTGACGGCATATGTGAGAGATCTCGTAGCCTTCATTTGCTAAAAACGGGATTTCATACATATACACTCTGATGAAGGCCAACGTTCAGACTGGTAGTTTTGCTTCAGAGAGGATATAATTTACGGACGATCCAATCATATTCAATATAAGGGGCGCCAGAATCTAGCGCGGAATTCATTCACCCATATTGTAACGCATTCGAAAGCTTACTCTAACAACTAGTTTCGTTTGTCAGTTTGTCTTAATCTCATGCTGGCTTTATTTCTGGTTGTTGTAAATTGATTTCCCTTCTGAAGTCAATGCATTCTGTGCGCTAACTAAGTCGTCGTTTCAACTTTTTCTTTTGTCCTCCATCCAACCTCTCTCTGCTCCGCCGACACGCCAGTACACAAGGTACATCCTGGATAAACACAAACTAAACAAATACTGAAGTTAAAACATAACATCACTATTTTGGCATCGCAGTAAATATTAGTTCGTAACGAAAGCCCTAACTCTAATTCCTGACCCTAACTGCTAACTCTAAATAACAGTTCTGATTCCTCACACTAATTTATAACCTAGTTTAGACCATTGAAATTAAACAATATTTCTCAATTTCATCCGAAAGAAAGTCATAGATTCTATTCTAACATGCTAAGACAACTGATTATTCAGGATAAGGATGTGTCCTATATCCCCATCAATCAGATTTATGCGCTAATGGTGGTATGTACGTCATTTCCTCCACCGTCGTAAGCCAACTAATTTTTCGTTTTCTCACTTATAAGAATGTGATGAGTCAGTAGTATTATTGTTACAGATATTCACAGTTTGACACAATTTTCAAATCCTGAAAACTTGAAACCCAGTTAGTCCATAAATCACAAATGAAACAGATGGAGGTAAATTTGAAGGATGCGTGTGATGTCAAGTAGTGGTTGATTTAACATGGCCAGTTAACGGAATAGTTGTCTCAGTAAAGAAAATCACTAACTTCAACAACTCTGCAAATAAATCACTTTCTGAAGGGAGATAATGTATCGATACGCCAACAGTGCTGGCGCCTCTTCACAATGAAGCGCCCGTTAGTATCACAGTAGACACATCTGACTCAGCAAACAGGAGGTCTAACCACCATGCGTAAACACCACCTGGCAAACCCTAACATTCTTATAAAGCAGTGTGCAGGACGCTGAATCAAGATATAACCTTTTCAGTAGGGAATTCCAAGCAATGTGTTTTGTCATATGATTCTTCTAAATCTCTTTAGAAGGCCAGGGATTTGCCTTCTGCACATACCATAATCCTCTGACGTTTCCTCTTAGCGCATCTACAGGCAAGTATTCTCCTCGAGAACCGCAATAACTGTACTAAATCTCTCATTTCACACTAGGGCAACGTGATTGCAAGCGGATAATCTCGTATAGATTCCTTGAACAGTTTCCGAGGAATTGACCTATCCAAGCCCTCTCAGCTTCAAAAGGAAAACAGAGATCATCAGTACGAAGACATTGACTAAACAGAGATTAAGAATCAAAGAGATGGCAACAGGTGAGAAAACTACACCTTGTGAGTCATGCAAAAAATTTATTGACGCATTGTCTTCTATATAATTTGCGAACCTTCTAATCCAGATGTCTCAGCAGTTGCAAAGCTGATAGCATATAGATTTTGCTAGACTCATGTGGACAATGTAACTCCGCCAGTAGAATCTTCGGGGCTGATGCCAGTCCCAAGCCCGGATAAAGGAGGAGGGTTGGGCATAGGGTTGGCGACCCCATTACGTCAAAAACTAACTTACCAAAAAACGCTAACCAGAACAAATAATTCAAACCATTTTAACTCTGCACTGGGAGTTGGAAGAAGAATTATGACGTCGCGTGGTGAAAGCCGAGTTCCCTCGGAAGTTACGGTACCGATGCCTCTTCTTACAACCAGAGAAACCATTCTTTCAGGGACTTGGAACGTTCGGACATTGTAGGGGAATGGAAGACTATTTCAAGTTGCTGCAGAAATGAAAATATACAACCTCCACGTGCTTGGTATGAGTGAAACGAATTAGACACAGGTACGACAACTGAGACTAGCTTCAGGGGAATTACTGTTATATTCAGGTTATGCAGTGGAAAATGCTGCACATACACAAACAGTTGCACTGATGCTGTCCAAATATGCACAAAAGGCACTGACATGATAGGAATCTCATAGACCCGGGATCACTAAAGCAACTTTACGGAAAAATTTGTTCAATTAATTGAATGGAACTCACCACTGCACATCAACTTCATCGACTACGAGAAAGCATTCGATAGCGTGGACAGGGAAACACTGTGGAGGCTTCTTCAACACTACAGTGTGCCTGATGGATTCAACTGCGAAATCGTACACGGAGGACAGCTAACAGACTCTTTCGAGGTGAAGACCGGTGTCACGCAAGGTTGCTTACTCTCACCCTCTCTCTTTCTTCTGGTGATCACTGGATTATGAATACGTCGACGTCTGGAGGGAAGCATGGTATGCAGTGGACAGCTAGGACGCAGCTGGACGATCTGGACTTCGCAGATGACCTGGCTCTTCTATCGCACACGCAACAACAAACGCAAGAGAAGACGACCAGTGTAGCAGCAGCCTCTGCAGCAGTAGGTCTCAACATACATAAAGGAAAAAGCAAAATTCTACGATGCGACACAACATGCACCAACCAAATCACTCTTGATGGAGATGCCTTGGAGGACGTTAACACCTTTACACATCTGGGCAGCATCACCGACAATCAAGGTGGATCTGATGCAGATGTGAGGGCACGGATTGGCAAAGCAAGGGCTGCATTTCTACAGTTGAAAAATATCTGGAACTCCAAACAACTTTCAACCAAAACCAAAATCAGGATTTTTAATACAAATGTCAAGACAGTTCTACTGTATGGAGCGGAAACATGGAGAACTACGAAAGCCATCATCCAGAAGATACAAGTGTTTATTAACAGTTGTGTACACAAAATACTTCGGATTCGTTGGCCAAACACCATCAGCAACAACGTACTGTGGGAGAGAACAAACCAGATTCCAGTGGATGAGGAAATCAGGAAGAAGCAGTGGAAGTAAATAGGACACGCATTGAGGCAAACACCTAACTGAGTCACCAGACAAGTCCTCACTTAGAACACACACTACGAAAAGCACCTAACTGAACCACGAGACAAGCCCTTACATGGAACCCTCAAGGCAAAGAGAAATGAGGAAGGCCAAGGAACACATTACGCCGAGAAATAGAGAAAGATATGAGAAGAATGAACAAACATTGGACAGAACTGGAGAGGGAAGCCTAGGAGAGAGTTGGTTGGAGGAAACTGGTGGGCGGCCTACGCTCCATTGGGGGTAACAGGTGTAAGTAAGTAAGCAATCCGCGTATCTTCGAATGCGTTTTTGTTTTGCAAATAGCCCTTTTTCTATCATATGTGTTATACGCAGTGTGAATTACATATTCGAACTTCTGAGCACGAAGGATTGTTTGTAACGTAGTCAAAATCTCCATGTAGTATGTTGCTAATCCGTTCTGTTTTCTTTCTATTTCAGGGCGATCAAACGCGAACGCTTTGGAGGCTGAATAACAAGCCCTGAGTGCTCTGAACTTGCAGGATGACTCATGAAACTTTAGTACCCTATGTAGAATCCTTTTTGAATGTTTTGTGTTCTGGAAAATCCCTCCATGTTTACATATTTTGCTATGACATGACGGACTTTTTCTGTTGACATTTTTGGTAATTTATTTGATTCCAATTTGAGATTTTATCATTGTATATTGTTATTCTTTCTATATTTTGTACTTATATTGAAGTTTTTATGTTTGCTTCTGAACTGTACATATGTTGTTTAAATTTGATATAATATGGCTACCGCCACATTTTTGGATTCGACATCGTGCAGTATAGGAGTTCACCTAGACCTCGGAACATTGATACTCGTTCGGAGTAATTCTGAATTGGAAGACGTAATATTCGTTAGGTATTATTTGTATTTCCATTTGTCATTTGTAAATAGACCATTTTCCCCTAGAATTATTGTGTTTTAATTTCAAAATCGGGAAGTGCGTCCAACATACGTCTATTGGAATCGAATTGAACTGTCACGATAGAGAATTCAACTACAGTCTAACGAATATTGGAATTCAGTCCATTTACTGTCTGGAATTATTCCTATGAACGTTTATATTCTGGAATTATCTATTACCTTTTGATTAGAAGACCAATTACAGTTGGATTATTAAGAAGAATAAAGAAGCATTTGGAAATTTAATCGTTTATCACACTAAACTTTCTTCAAGGAAGAATTTTGGATTATTTACCGTATTTCGTATTCGCATTGTATCTTGGATGAAGAAATTTTGATCTTGGACATATTTTCTTGAACTTATCTGTGGAATTACTATATTTTGTATTTGTTATTTTCCTTCCGTTCAACCTTACTTACAATGTCAAGTCGCAAGAAATCAAATACGAGGAGGGTGGAAGAGCTGGACGGATCCCAGAACATTAAGCAAGTCGTTAATGATGAACTTTTTAGGGGAACCCATATGTTATGTCTGATACTTATTATTGTAAGTCACCTTTGGCAGGCATTAAGGAACCAGGATTAAGTGAGAGTTCTAAGGTACCAGAGACCGATCAGATGCTTAGGACACCGATAGTAGGCTTCGAACTACCTAAGGTTGAACTCTCATTTTTTGATGGAAAGTCTCGCGACTACTTTAGGTTTAAGCGCCAAATAGAAACGTTTATAGAACCAAGCGTAAAAGATGACCAAGTGCGTTTATTATACTTAATTCATTATTGTAAAGGAAGGGCGAAAAATGCGATTGAAGGTTGTATTATAATGGATCCACAAGCGGGATATAAGAGAGCTAAGGCCATCCTAAAACAGCTCTTTGGACAGTCGCATGTAATAGCCCGGGAAACCTTAGAGGACTTATTTAGAACTGGGAATGCAGATTTTAATGATCCTGAATTATTGACGAATTTGGCTATTAAAATGCAGAATGCTGCTTTAACCGTAGA